TAGGACATCCCAGAAGAACTGTGGTTATCCCAGACGGGCTTTTTAAAAAAAAACAACAAGAAGAGGGCTGCTGAGAAGGAAGAAAACAGAAGACAGGACATCTTCATTCCATATGTTGCTGGAGAAAAACTATCCACTGGACTTGGTTTTCAAGATTTGAAGACGTTTCGCCACCTCTCCAGGACGCTTTCTCATTTCAAATGTCTGGATCCGCAGTGAGTTTGAGTCTTATATAGACAACGCCTTGTATCGCTTGGAAACATGCAATGGAAACCGATGAATGGGTCGTTAGTTCCATCGTTAGCCTGTAATATCTGAACCTGTCTATGGTTCTAGGGGTCGGTCGTTAAAGGGGGGATTGTCATTAAGGGGTGGATTGTCTCCTGTGATACCTGAAACCTGTCTATGATTGTTAAGGGTAGGTCGTTAACAGGGGCGGACTTAGGAAATTTGGGGCCCTAGGCAAAGACAAGCATGGGGCCCTCTGAATTGAGAAGACAACATATAGAACAGACCCAGTATACAGATACAGAAATTATAATAGAATAGACTTAGATCATTTTTTCTACCTTTTGTCCCTCTCTTCTCATCCTTTTTGTTGTGGTTTTCTTCTGTGTTCTTTTGTCCCTTTCTGTAGTAGTCTAGGCAAAGGCAGGCACGGGGCCATCTGAAATGAGAAAACAACACACAACACAACAGGTCAATTATACAAATTGACATTTTAAGAGAATAAACATGCATTGTTTTACCTTTTATCCTTCTCTTCCTGTCCTTTTTTCATGTCTGTTTCATTTTACTCTTTTTCTGTTGTTTTATTCTCTTCCTGTCTTTTTCTCAGTCTGAATTTCTCTCCCTTTTGTCCTTGTCTTTCTTTTTCTTTTGTTTCTTTTACTCATATTCCTCCTTGTTTCCCCCTTTTCTCTTCCTGTCCCCTTTTCTTGTTGTTTTCCTCTTAATGTTTTGTCCCTTGTTCCTAGTAGTTGTATTCTCTTTCCCCCTAAAATTTCATTATATTTATATATATATATATATATATATATATATATATATATATATATATATATATATATATATATATATATATATATATATATATAAATAAATAAATAAAAGATAAAAGGTGCATGTCACAGGAAAGACTAGTGATGTTACAAATATGACAATTGCTTAAACTACAGAACAGTGAATTATTTAATCTATAATTAATGTGACCCTTAACATCCTCAGCTGTACACAATAACACACATTAAAGCAATGTTAATACAAAGCTGTAAGGCAGAGTGAGATATTGGTAATAACTTCCTTATGTTTTTTTAATGTATAACTTAAATTATTACAGACTAAAACACCTAAAACGTATGGGTGATTTTATAACATTTAAAAGCCTGAGATTTTCCTGAAATTCAACATAAAAAAACACCTAAATAATTGATTTTTCATCGTTTGTAGCAAATCCAAATGAAATTATAAACTTACTTTAAAATGACCCATCTTTAATAAGGTAAATAAATACTTATCAATATAGGGGGAATGTCCCCTTCGACAGCTTAATACTCACTAGTTGTTGTTCAACTCCACACGATGGATCCTCCTTAACAGGTGCCAGACTTGCCGTTGAGTGTCAGTTGTTTGTGGCAGGTTACTGCTGCTGCTCGCCGCTGCCGCAGTGAAGAAGCCGAACTCAGTCATTTTTGGTAACTTTGAAAGCAGCTTCCTACCTTCATTCTTTTTCCTCCTCTTTTCAGCACCGCTAGGGTAACTTCTTTTCATCTTTTTTCTTTCCTTTCTTTTATCTTCTCCGCTCTGCTCGTCTCGTCTCTTCGCGCCGTTTGTTTTTTCAAATAGTTTGCTGCCGTGTGTTTGGACCTTTCTGCCCATGCGCAACAAATGGACTGAACCAATGTAGTGGACACTGTAGGGGGGGCCCCGAGACACACTTAATATTATAAGCATTCTAATGGCATTTTAGTGAAAGGATTTTTTTCAAAAACATAATTAATGTGCACAAATAAGTAATTGCTGAATTAACCATACATGTAAAAGGAGTTTTAGGGGGCCCCCCAGGAACTCGGGGCCCTAGGCAACTGCCTAGTTTTGCCTAATGGTAAGTCCGCCCCTGGTCGTTAAGGAGGTATTGTTCACCGGCTGGAGCGGGTAGGTCCCTCGTTCCTCTGTGATGAGGCATGTCTTTATTACTGCTGTTCAAAAAAGACCTATTATTTTCAAGAATAAAAAAAAACAACTTTGACTTCCTCTTGCCAGAGGAACGAGGGACCTACCCGCTCCAGCCGGTGAACAATACCTCCTTAACGACCTACACTTAACAATCATAGACAGGTTTCAGGTATCACAGGAGACAATCCCCCCCTTAATGACAATCCCCCCTTTAACGACCGACCCCTAGAAACATAGACAGGTTCAGATATTACAGGCTAACGATGGAACTAACGACCCATTCATCGGTTTCCATTGCATGTTTCCAATCGATACAAGGCGTTGTCTATATAAGACTCAAACTCACTGTGGATCCAGACATTTGAATTGAGAAAGCTTCCTGGAGAGGTGGTGAAACGTCTTCAAATCTTGAAAACCAAGTCCAGTGGATATATTTTTTGAATTTTTACGGAATGACTTACATACAGTATATTCTACTCAGTGCTCCCCACCACTGGTTAGAACTGAAGAAGTCTCCTCCTCGAATTGTCTTCTAGAAAACTTAACGTCAAGTTGCCTAGACTGAACTTTTCAAGATTGTTGCTTTTGATTAATCTCCGAATCTACCGTAAAATTCGAGCTTTCTGACTACAAAGTGAACAAGGGTCCAAGTTGAGAAGTTGGAGGCCTTTTTGATGCTCAAAAAATACATCCAATGTGAAGGCAACTCACCTGTTGTGGTGCTGCAGTTTGTAAAGCATGAAGACCGTGATTTAATCCCAGCCTGAGATGATCTGATAGTTTGATCCCAGCTTGAGACCTTTTGGTGCTGAGAATGTTTACAGATTTGAAATGTTGAGAAGATGTAACCCAATGTCTCTTATTGTTCTATAGCTTTTTAAATTAGCTCAACTTTTCTAATAAAACAGGTAGATTTACTGAACCAAACCCAGTGCAAATGGTTACCTTTACTTTTTCCTTTAAATTCTGTAGTTTTTTATTTTTTGTTTTACAGTGCATAATGATGTTTAGGCGGAATGTTAGAAAAACAAAATCCCCCAAATGTTTCTGAATTTGCAATCAAAACACAAAGGTAAAAGTTTTTATCTGATTAGTCATTTAGACTGAATCTGTAATTGTCTTTGTACATTTCCTGTGATTGTTTCTCAGTAGTGAGTGAAAAACCTTCCTGCAGTTGAAGAAAATCAAAGTGCCGTCTGTCTTTTTGTCTCAGCGGTTGTTCTGTTATTCAGTCTGCAGGGTTACTTTGGGATTTATCCCACTTCATTACTGCCTGTCTGTCTTCCTTTAGCTTAGACGAAGGCTTCTTTAATTTGTACAAATTATAGCCCATCTCCATGTAAATCTATCCCAACATGTGTCGAGTTTCATCAAAAACCTGATTAAGAACCCAGCAGATGCTCTGAAATTTGTTTTACATTCTGAAGAGATTGATAAAGCAAGAGTAACCTGAATGTTGAAACAAATATTCTGTTTTTTATTCTTTCTTCTCTTTATGACATCACCAAAATCCTCATGCAAGCTCAACCATCTCTGAATTAGATGATATTATATGAAACATGACATTTTTATATTCAAATCTTATGCAGAGAAAGATCTGCAGCTGGAAACAGCAGCTTTGCTCCAAGACAAAAACCAAATATTCTTTTTTTGGGAGTAATATTTGTAAAAATGCTGTTTTTAGAATTAATAAAATAAAATAGACTGCAGGAAACTAAAATTATGCTTAAGTCATCTCATTTTGACAATCTTTTAAACTAAACTTCCTTATTGTTTGAGATTGTTTGAATTTCTTTGTTATGGCTCAGTGTCTGATAAGCTAAAATATTGAATAACCTCTTAACTTCTTTTCTACAGTTTTAGATGGACTGCACTTAACTCTATAATTAGAAGCTTCAACACATAGACTCGATTAAACATGAGTTAGTTTCCGTCATTGTCCCCCTTTATGACACCTCCACTACGTATTGCTGGTCTGCATTCGGTTCCACTGCGTTCTGCAGAATTTCCCTATGAGCCAATCGCAAAGAGGTTCTGAAATCGTTGCACAGCGATTGTTGGCCACTTGAGGCCAGGTCTCTGCTTGTTTCTTCTCTTTCCTCGTCCACTTTTTAAGCAGTCTGTTGGATGCATTTCAAATAAAAAAAGCAACCTGAAAAATTGTTGTTAAAATTTATTGAAGTAGTAAAACTAGAGAATCCATAATCCAAAACCGATCAACAAGAAACTCCAACACAATAAAAAAACACCAAGGAGGAATAAACCAAGGGAATGACAGAATAAAGAGAATTCGGCAAACAGCAACTGCAGAGGAGTAATATATACGGCAAAAAGAACAATGGAGTAATCAGCTGGTTGGGAGCAGGTGTGGACAGAAGGATCTAGAAGGGAGCTATGGGAAAGGAGACTGGCACAAGGGGCAGCATGGAATAAACAAGAAAAAAACTTAGAAGACACTAAATGGAAATGAAACTAATGACTTAAAGGAACATAATGACATGAATCAAAGTGTAACTGAAAACCCAAAGTGAAACAATACCACCGACAAAGAAATCCTAATGTTTCCTAATCTGGAGATCATTAGGATTTGAAGCTCAGTTTATGAGCACTTCTTTCTGCTCTATTGCTCTTATATGAGCAGACTAGATTGATCATTCGACTTAGAAAGCCTGTTAGTTAGTTTTGTGGTAAAGGTGAGTATTTGTGGATGTTTTGGCTTGCCATATCGAGAAGAAATGTTGTGAATCGGCACTATAGAAACGAACAGAACTGAAGTTAATATGATGAGCAATCAATAAAGGGAAATGTTCTGGTTTGTTTTGCAGTACCTGGCTCAGTGCCCATGGAATCGCTGCAGAATACTCCATATGAAGAGAAGATCTTCATGCAGTGGAAAGCTCCCAACGAGACAAACGGCGTTATCACTCTCTATGAGGTAAGTCATTCATTCTAATGTCCCGGCATGGAGGGAACTCTCTTCCATTACTTTTGCAAGCAAATAACACATTTTTTTAATGTAAATAAAAATCTTAATATAATTATTGAAATTCTTTATTATTGTTCTTTTTTACAAATGTTATTTTTGTTTCTACTGTTATTATTTCTGTTCTCTCAAATCGGTCTTTACAAATTGCATCATCTGTAAAACTCAATTTAATGTCTTCACATCCAGCTCAATTTGGGGAATTCTCCTCTATTTACAAATTACATGTGTGATACATTATTTAAAAGCTAACACTTTTTAGTTTCTGAATATATACATGGAAATTGGGTGAGTAAAACACAGCCCAAGCTGCATCAGTTCAAACATGAGTCAAAGTTGTTTTTTTTTATTCTTGAAAATAATAGGTCTTTTTTGAACAGCAGTAATAAAGACATGCTGGCTTGTTGTGGCTGCTTTGTCATGTTTACATTTTGACATGCTGCTATATCTGTGTTAATTGTGTTTTGGTGCTCGCTGTGCCCATAAAATGAACTTGGTGGTTGAATTGTGGAGAATCTAAGCTTTCTATCTAGCATGTCTACATTGGTAAACATTTTATTGGTGTAATTTTCATGCATTCTGAGTTATTAGTTGTAAAGGCTTTACAACAGGTCGGCGTCGACCCAGTGGGTTTTGAGAATTAATTTTATTTTTTTTACTCTAAAACATTAAATTTATAAAAAAAAAATTAAAAACAAAAAAATACATGGCAAATACATTTGAAATAAATAAAATCTGTGAAACAGCAAAACTCTGAAAACCTTTTCTCGATTAAAGTTGTAGGGAAACGACTTTAATCGAGAGGTTCCAAAGGTTGCGTTTCCAAATTCTCTCAAGTGGTGCACGACTTTACTCGAGTGAATAAAGTGAATGTGATTGGTCGTTTATCAAGGGTGCGGGATTGTTGTGGCGGAAGGTTTGCAAGCTTTTTGGTTGTGGTCGGTTTGTCGGAAGCATCTTGCTAACCAGTTAGCAACTTAGTGCTAGTAGGAATGGAATTTCCCATTTGGACCAAGAAGCACTAAATTGGTGACGTAGAAACGACACTGTCAAGATACGCTATGGACAGAGGAAACATGCAAGAGGAGGAGAGTTTAGTGTCAGAGGTCGTGAGAGTCTCCTCCGTCATCCATTTTTTATTTAGAGGAGGAAAGCGGGGATTAAGATGTTGTAGAAGAGGACGCCAGGGCGGCAGAAGCTTGGTTTGGTGTTGAAGGCTTCCAGCCGTACATGTTTGAGCCCTTGCCTCGCAACGCTGCCAGTTCTGTTAGCTCTACGCTTGCCGAAGACACAGACGTCCATCCCCGTGAACACTGGGACGGAACTCAATGGGAAAGGAAAAGATTCTCATTTCTTATTTCAATTGTTGCGTATTTTAGCTGCGACATATGAATCAAGATGCTATGACTGAAAAAATTGATTGACAGATGACCGTTGATATATGATTGGCCGAATTTAGGTGTTCAGGCTGACGTATAACTAACTGGCCTGCATAAGATAACGAAAAAAGCACAGATTTTGAGACAGAATTTTTTCAAACTAGGAATTTTCTAACTTTTGGGACAACATGGTCTGATAAAGAGTACATTTATATACATGTTTAAGCCAAAATGATTTGAAATTTCAATATAACTCTCCTATGACTTTAAATTTCAAAGATTTTCAAAGTTAATTTCCTTTTACAAAATGTTTTTTTTCCTGAAACATTAACGGACGAAGTTTACTCAATGGCGACCTTTGTGCTCTAATGATGCTCCGGCTCAAACATGCTGCTGTGAGCAGTTTGTACTGCCGTTGCATCGAGTTGCACTTTCCTCACTCCCCAGTAAAACAGCCTCCACCGGTGGAGCAAAGCTTATCACCAACCACAGACTGAAGTCTCTGACAAGCTTTCAGATGAATAAAAATCCTCCTGAGGAGCTAGAAACAGGAGGTGTGCTGTGAAAGGAAAGTTGTTTTTGGATTCTGGCACAACTGTCAATTCATGTCTCATCAAGGGTTAGATGTGTTCAGCATGAGTTATTAGACATAAGCAGGAATCCAAGGATGAGTTTAAAGTTTTAACTGTGGGGAAAAACAGAGCCTAGAAGAAAGTTAAAGGCCTTGAAGGAGGCTGAGTGTGAGGATGTGGTTGCAGGGGGGTTTATTCAGGTTGAACTTGAGTTGAGCCCTCTACCTAATGAATTATTGACCGGCACTCCTCTGCCTGCCTGTGATATCACTGCATCGAGAACTCACCTCACACTTACACTTAGCAGAGATGTTGTTGTGTGTGTGGTCACAATTTCATCCCTTCGGCATGCCCTGCAAGCAGCAAGACTTCCTCTGATATTTTAAAGTGTTCCCGATCAATACTTCTCAAAGCTCTCTGCACAAGTTTCTTGGTCTGTTTTCCTTTTTTTTTCCTCATCAGGAAACATTTTTCAGCCTCATCGTTTCATGCGTCTACGGAATAAGTCGAAGAATTAAAGTTTTGTCCTTAGTATCAAATGCGTGTCTAACTAACATCAGCTAAATGTCTTTTTTGTTTTACTGTGTATTTCAGAACACATACCTCTTTTTCATTTTTCTTTTTTTTTTTTTATAATTTGGATTTTAATTATTTTTTTATCTTTTTCAGGCTGTTTATGTAGAAAAATGGAATTTGAGAAAAAATTGTGATTATTGAATAAATTGGCGATCACAAATCAAAAACTATTCATAACTATTCTGAAATAATACTAATAAAGGTGAAAGTAAAATTAAAATACTCCTGAAGGAGTAATCCAAGGGATAAATAAAGTTCAGTCTAAGTTTAAAAGCAGTTGAAAAAGTAAAAAAAAACAAAAAAAACAATCCACTGGACTTTGTTTTCCAAGTTTGAAGACGTTTCGCTTCCCATCCAGGAAGCTTTCTCTATAGAAAATGTCTGGATTAACTTTGCGTTCCAGGTTTTAATAGAATAGCCCAACAACAGCCTTGCATTGGCTTAAAAAAACAATCACAATGAAACTGGAAAACCAGCTCCACCCCTTAATAAATGGGATTAATTGCAGTCGTTATTGGCCTGCAATAGCCGATACTGGCCCATTCCTCTGAAAAGGCGATCTTTAATTGTCGTTTTTGGGTTTTGAGAGGTTGTTTGGTTTAGATCAGAGCATTCGTCACTGCATTAAACTGCATACACCACTCAGCTCATGGCGGTTTTGTCTTTAGGATGCATTAGTCTCTGTTTAAGGGTTTGGTTTGGTTTGAAATGTACTGGGATTTTGTGTTTGGAGAAAATCATCTTTCTCCATCAGTTTTCCAGAGACTCCAGCAACATGGGATCAAGCTGTTTTTGCATTTAATTTTCTGACCATTATGTTCTGCTATGTGTCTTTTGCAGTAAAAGTAGTTGTATGTTTCTCTATACAATGATCATTATCTGCTTCTTCTACTGTGAATAACGGTACGTTCACATTGACAAATTTACGTATTCCCTCTGTAGACATGCCCAGCAGGAGTTATTTGATGCTAAGAGATTGGACAGATGCATTTATAGATATGCCACAAGCAGGATTTCTGGTGGTTCCAGGGATGCGACACCTGGAATGGATGCAAAAAGATCATTGTTGGAGTTGAAAAACCTGAACTTCTTGGTCGTGTTGTAAAAACCAGTGACGGACTAGATGTGGATGACTGCAGTGGAGAAAAAGCTTTTTCAATAAAGATAGATTGGTAATTGCCGGAGATATATCAGGCCAGCGACGCACCAGTGGTGCCATTGTTACTGAAATATTCTTTCTGTCATGATTTTTGGACATTAATGTCTAAAGAGAAGCACCATCTCCTGGTCAGACCCTGTAATTCAGTGAAAGGGTGTAGGGAGTAAAAATAATGCATGACCAGGGGAAGGCCAGTGGATGAAAGCTGGAGGGGAGTAGGCTGCCATTTGGCTGGTGTTTGACTGGGAAGGGCCATTTTACCATGAAGCACAAGGGTGGCAGCTTCATGCTGCGTTCCCCTGCAGTAAATTAATGAAGGACCACTTCCAAGGCCTTCAGATTCGGGAGTCAGAAGATGGAAGAGAAAATCTCTTGATTAAATCACAGGAACATCTGGCATCTTCTAGCTGCCTCCTCGACATTCAGACGTTCAGAGCCCCACCGACCGGAGCGGCTTTGCTGTTCCTCAGCTGATCAGCGGGGCCTCCGGCTTGTAGGAGCTGACCGAAAACCATGGCTTCATCATGTAAACAGAACCAAATTATTCATGAGAAAGTATTTAGAGTGCATTTTAAAAGCGGCTCTCTGGGGAGGACTTTAAACAGAGCGGTGGGTTTTGGTGGAGTCGTCTGAAGGTAACGTCCTGCAGGAGCTCAGCGTCTCTGTTCTCCAGGTGGCGCTTCCAACGCATCATTTTTTTTTCTTCTATCCTCGAAGCTCTTTCTGCCTCTTAACATCAATCTACCTCTCTCCTCATTCAGTGCTGCACAAAGCTTCCTCGCCATCATTTCTGAGACCTCCATTAGACCTCGACCGAGAGCTTGAAAAACACTCTCAGCAGTCTCTAAACCTCCTGGGTCCATCATCAATTTGGTCTTGTTTTCTGTTGATTTCATTAATATCAATCTACGCTCCCTGTGCAGCGAGCGGAGGCGGCACGCCGCTGCATCATCTGTTAAACATATCAGAGGCTGAACACAACGCACTGCTATTAGAGATAATTACTATAATTGCAGCTATTGACAGGATTAAAGGCATCATCTGCAACATCTGAAGGGGCTCTTGTTGTGTCCCAGCCTGCTCTGTTGTCTTTCATTTTCCTTTCCTTTTTTTTTTTTTTTTGGTGCCGCTCTGTGTTCCTCGCTTTTCAGTCTGGGAACCAGATGAATTACAGCGAGGACAAGGAGGTGGGGGGTGGTAGGGTGAGATAAGGGGGAAGGAGGAGAAGTGGGAGATAAAAACAGGCGTGTTGGTGGAAACGTGTCC